ACCGCCAGAGAGTGCATGGCAGCCAGCAGAGTCTCAACCGGTCCAGTTGCAGCATCCGGGTTAGCCTTAAGCAAGCTGTCCCCAAGTTCCGGGCCGGCACACTGAAACAGCTGGAAAGGGGCCTGGGCATAACCTATGCCCGAGCCAGCGCGGAAGAGGTCCCAGCGGCGTGTAAAGATGTTCCATTCCTCGATGGACATGCCGACATCCACTCTCTGTCGATCCAGCGCAGGGCCAGGCAGGCCCGGGGCCCGAACGGGCACAGTGGGTTCGGTCCGGCTCTGGTGGGCCAGGCCATGGTTTGCCAGCAGCGCCACGGCAAGAGCCTCGGACACGTCATCGGTGGCGAACGTACAGGCTGGAACGGAGCATCTGACGACCACCATGGCTCCTTCATGAAGAAATACACTCCTCGATGTCAAATGGTTTTAATGACAAGGATGAAGGAGCCCTGCGGCGACATACAAAGCTGAGTGAGCAGAAGCTAACGGCAGCGTGAAGCAGCAGCGTGGGCTGAAGACCAAAGCTAAGCAATGTGATAAAATAGGTAAATAAATGCAGCGCAGCTTAGCGTGCATACTGACAATGTGACCATTACATTAGCTTAACAAGCAGGTGAAGACTTACAGATACAAGTCGAACAGTAGCATGGATAGGCAGCAGTGTGATGGTTGAGCAGCAGCAATCCACATGAGAGGCAGCAGTATGTACAGTGAGGGATAGTCACACGTACGTGACTTCAGGCACATCCCTGCATACACCTTTTTCCCTCGAGGCTTGATCGCAGCACATCCTAGTGGCCAGTGGTGACCTCTGCAAGTGCCACTACGTAACACATTTTTACTTGGAAGCAAAAATATAAAGAAATAAATGTACTAAAACTGCCACTACATTAAAGAAATTCTGATTGTACCAACCAGACCACAAAAGGTGTGCATGTTTGCTACCAGGTCATAGATCGTTGGTTACGTATTGTAACCCCAGACTCTAGGAGTATAGCTCCGCCCTTTAAGCCATCGCCTAGTGGATTAATCCCATCCCCTTAACCAATCATTGAAGAGCTTTTGTGTACGCCCGCCTCCTAGGCAGTTCCTGGCCCTTAAAAAGGTCACAGCGAGCATAGCTCGTCTCTATGAGTCTTATTGAGCCCACAGAACCAGTGGGGCCAAGATGCTTAAAGGGCGGCGCTATACTCCTAGAATCTGGGGTTACAATACGTAACCAATGTTGTATTTCGTATAGCTCCGCCCTTTAAGCCATCGCCTAATGGATTAAAGGCGGAGCCCGATATAGTCATCGCCACACTGGTTCAGAACTAAACCTGAGCGGACTCAGAGGCTCCGCCTAATAAACCTCTACAGCTGTCGGCGGGCGTAAACATGAGAGAACAGCTGGAGGACATGATGACAGCATATGATCAGCGCATAGCTGATGAGAATCAACCCCAAGGTTGCCTAGCAACTGGTGTGAGAGAAGCTGTCACAATTAAGAGGACACAATGTGACCTATTGTAAGGTCATATCAACGAGGGTGTTTAAGAACAGGTCTCCATGAGACACACACCCCCCCCCCTCCACCCAGGCACACCTGGAAAGCACCCAGGTCGCCACAGCCGACCACCGCCTCCCAGGGCAGAGGGCTCCCACGGAGGAAACACTGGAAAAAGGTTAAATTAAGGTTAAAATATAAAATAATAGGAGCTAAAATGAGAATAGTAATATAAAAAGTTATATAGATATTAAATAATGTTGATTAATAAATCTATGGTAAAAAATAAAAAACTTTTAATAATAGCATGTATAAAGAAAGACCACATAAAATAAATAAATAAATAACCATATAAAAAAAACAAGGCATATGTTAGTGAGAAATGGTATTTGTATCTAATTGTATGACATGTTAATGTACATTATCTTAAGATAACTGACTGAATAAATTGATCATTCATTCATTCATTCATTCAACCTAATTTAAAAAGTGATGGTAATCAGTTAACTGGAAAATATGAAATAATTAGTTATGTTCATGATTATATTTCACCTCACTGATGATGTCCCGGATGCTGCTGTTAACTGTCACATGATCTAAAACTCAAAGTGAAATAACAGCGGTCGTCTCAGAGTTAAGACTGCTTTTCTCTGGTTGAGATGGTTTAGTAACCACAGACATTATTGTGTCTCAACAGGGCTTGTGATCACACGCCATTACACAGAGCATTCTGGGATGTGAGTGGACATGTTGGCGGCCTTTCGAGGGTAAAAAAAACCTGAAAACAAAAAGCAAATGCAGAGAAGAAGCAGATTTGGGTGAAAGCAAGTGTTAAAAAACATGTTAAAATCCCCAAAATAGATGCAGAAAAAACAGGGATACGTTAAATAAAGACGCCAGGGACCAGTATGTGGACTAAATCAGCTTTATAAATGGTTTTGGTCCATATGAAAGACCCAAGACTGCAGCACCGATGACAACTTGTTGCCGCTGCAGTTCTGCGTAACGGACATTTTCAGCTTTCTCGTTTGTGGTGTGAGCGGATGTAAACGTCCGGATGAGAGATAAACGTTTCATTAGCTGGTTTTTCTAGTAAACAATCAAAATTATCGTCCATAGAAGGAGTGCAGCAGCAGAAGTTGTTTTAATTTGCAGTGTGCTAACATTAGCTTACCAATTTGTGTGTGTGTGTGTGTGTGTGTGTGTGTGTGTGTGTGTGTGTGTGTGTGTGTGTGTGTGTGTGTGTGTGTGTGTGTGTGTGTGTGTGTGTGTGTGTGTGTGTGTGTGTTGCGGTTGAAGGGAATAGCATCACCTCCCTCCAAGAATTTACAAAACTCTAAACACAAATATGACAAATGTGCTGAATCAGTTAGAAAGCTGAGTCAGACAGAAATGGGGCCGTTCAAACCCGCTAAAACAGGCCGCCGCTAACAATAAGCTAACTGCAGTTTAAACTACGACCAGTCGGGTAACACGATTAAGTTAACTAAAAGTGGCCACATTAAAAATCACTTTTGACCTAATTTGGTTGAAAGCGGTCTGCTAACGCTGCCGCCAGTGGAAGCCAGCACCGAGGACATCCAGAAAGTCTTGTTCAGAACAGAAACATAGTCGAAGGACCCGGAGGTCCAGGAGGCTGCTTACTAGGAAGTCGGCACAAACAGAAATGCTTCAAATTCAGACTCTTCAGACTGAGAACTCGGGGGCTGGAGGTCACCACTAGGTGCTCCACTCTGGCCTTGAGTCTGGCTTCCTGATTCTTTTACCCTCTGTGGTAGATTGTGTGATAGATGGCAGGTGTGCATCTTTGTTCGCCCATCTTGGATCTCACATACATGGAGGCACAATCCCAATACTCACACTGCACCCTGTGGTCTTCTGTAAGGTGCACTTGGAGGAAGTGCAGTAGGGCTTTGGGTGTGTACTACACAGGCGTGTACATCTGGGATTTTCATTAGTTGTCAGTTATAATGAAAAATATGTAAATAATATATCAGTCTGTGTGCAATGAATGATTCTAATATACAAGTTCCACTTTCTGAATGGAATTCCTCAAATAAATCAACTTTGTCATGATATTCTACTTTTATTACCAGCACCTGTATGTGGCCAGTGTGATTATTAATGTATTATAACAACATGTCCAGCAGGTGGCGCTAGCGCACCTTTAGGCTGGTCACGGACCACCGGAAGCAGCAGAAACCGGAAGCTGCTAGCAGAGCTAGCTTGTTGTTGTTGTGGTGTGTGAGGAGAAGATTTGAGGCTCTGCAGTAAAAACGTCTTCACTTCAGTCTCTGGGAGAGTTGATCAGCTAAAGCGACTAACTGCTACTGCTGCAGAAATCTTCTCACCAGGCTGTGGAAACTTTCTTCTCCTCCTCAACAACTTGGTGGAGTTCTTTCCAGAAGCAGAGAAGCTATTCTGCGGTCTTCGTGACAATCGGAGCTCCAGAAGCAGGTGATGGGTGAGAAAAGCTTTTCTCTAGACTTCCTGCCCTCTGGATCTGCTGCTGTTCCTTTGGCCTCTCTGAGAAACGCGCTCGTTTTGCTGCTTTCATCAGATTGAAGAGGTTCCCTCTATCAGACTCGCTCATCTGAGTTGGTCATGATGCAGGATCGCTGCTCGCTCTCTCATCCAGGGGCGGATTTAGGACTGAAGAAGATCCGGGGCTTAACACACACGCGCGCGCACACACACGCGCGCGCACTCGCACACACACGCATGCGCGCACACACGTGACACGCACTAGTCAACATCATATATATATATATCTTGTACCACATAATGTTTAATCTGAAGCTACATATTCAGCATTTTCAGGGCAGAGTATTGTTCCTGTTAGTGTTTAGTGTGAGATGATAGTGAATATTCCCTTTCTTTCTCCAACAACTTTACCTGATAGTAAGCTAACTTTAGGCAAACCAGCAGCACAACAAATATTTTCAAATAAGACTCACAAACCTGAGTCAACACCAGTCTCATCAGAGCTGGGGTTCTGTCGTTGTACTTTTGGTCTAAAAAAACGTCCTTATATCCATCTTCACTCATGCGTTTCAGACAGAGACTGTAGAAGCCAGCTGCTGAAGGGCTTCTCTTCAGTCTCAGGTAAACTGTATACTGACGAAGCAGCCTAGTGGTAGAGTGTCTGCCCTGAGATCGGGAGATCAGGGGTTCGACTCCTGGTCGGGTCATACCAAAGATTTTGAGAAAAATGGGACCCAATGCCTCCCTGCTTGACACTCAGCATTGGATTGGGGTTGGATTGGGGGGTTAAACCACCAAATAGTTCCCGAGCGCGGCGCAACTCAGGGGATGGGTCAAAATCGGAGAATAAATTTCACCACACACCTGTGTGTGTGACGACTAAATGGGACTTTACAAACTACTGCCAGCTGCGCCCTCTCTGTGTGACTTTGGTACTGCATGTTACTTCCGCGATTTAGATCCGGGGCTTATCATGAAAGATCCGGGGCTTCAGCCCAAGTAGCCGGGCCTAACGCCGCCCCTGCTCTCATCCATCCTGCTCACACTCTCCGACGGAAAAGGCCCGAATCTGAATGTGACTCTGGAGGAAAAAGCGGTTAGCTCTACTCCGTGAACTCTGGTGAGCAAAGGTCCTCTTTTCCAGACTGGATGTGTCCTCAGCTGATCAGAACCAAAGCGTTGGATCTTTAATCTCCTGCGTTGTTCTGAAGCAGCATCTTAATCAGCTCTCCTGCTTTGTTTCTATTGCAGCTGTTAGCTAAACACGGCTAAAGAAAACCTGCTACCACTTCAGGATCATCCATCAGCTGGGACTGCTTCATCAGCATGGACACAGGTACTGGTGTGTGTGTGTGTGTGTGTGTGCGTGCGCGTGTGCGTGTGTGCGCGCGTGCGTGTGTGTGTGTGTGTGCGTGTGTGTGTGTGTGTGTGTTACAGCATGGACACAGGTACTGGTGTGTGTGTGTGTGTGTGTGTGTGTGTGTGTGTGTGTGTGTGTGTGTGTGTGTGTGTGTGTGTGTGTGTGTGTGTGTGTTACAGCATGGACACAGGTACTGGTGTGTGTGTGTGTGTGTGTGTGTGTGTGTGTGTGTGTGTGTGTGTGTGTGTGTGTGTGTGTACAAGTGATAATGCTGCAGGATTTCATAACTTTGTCCTTCTCAGCAGCAGCGCTGCAGGTGCTCTCCATGTCCAGCAGGTGTGTAAGCCAGGTCCTTAGTCAACTTAAAGCTGGACACATTTTTCCACTAAGTTTTCTTTCATAAATCCCAAAGTTTGTGTGGAAAGTTGCTTACGCAGTTTTCCGACCCCGTTTGGTGCGTAAGCTAGCTTGATGAATGAGACCCCAGGCCTGGATCTTGAAATGAACCCTGAAGTTGACTGGCAGCCAGTGAAGCTGGAGGAGAAGCGGGGTGATGTGGGTGTGTTTGGAGGACTTGGTCAGAAGCCGAGCACAGGCGTTCTGAACCACCTGTAGACGGTTCAGGGAGGTTCTGCTCAGACACGTGAAAAGAGAGTTACAGTAGTCTAAGCGTGAGGAGATGAAGGTGTGGAGAACTGTCTCAAGTTCAGAGCGGGACAGAATGGGACTCAGCTTAGCAACGTTCCTGAGATGTGTAAAGAAATAATTTTCTTTCTCAGATTTTGTGACATTTCTTTTTCTTGTGGCAGGGGCAGCAGCCTAAGCACATAGGCCCAGACTTCCCTCTCCCCAGCCACTAGGGCCAGCTCCTCCGGGGGAATCCTAAGTCATTCTCTGGTCAGCTGTGAGACATAGTCTCTCCAGTGTGTTCTGGGTCTTCCTTTAGGCCTTCTCCTGGTTGGACATGCCCAGAAAACCTCACCAGGGAGGTGTCCAGGAGGCATCTTAACTAGATGCCCGAGCCACCTCAACTGGTACCTCTCGATGTGGAGGGGCAGCAGGCTACTCTGAGCCCCTCCCAGATGACCAGTCTCACCATATCTCGAAGGGAGAGCCCAGCCACCCTGCAAAGAAAACTAATCTCAGCCGCTTGTACCCACAATCTCATTCTTTCGGTCACTACCCGATGCTCATGACCATAGATTAAGGTAGGAACGTAGATCGACCAGTAAATCGAAAGCTTCGCCTTCTGACTCAGCTCTCTCTTCACCATGACAGATCAGTACAACGCCCACATCACTTCAGATGCAGTACCAATCCGTATGTCGATCTTGCACTCCAGCTTTCTCTCACTTGTGAACAAGAACCCGAGATACTTAAACTCCTCCACGTGAGACAGGGCCTCATCCCTCCTTTTCGACTCAGAACCATGTCCTCAGATTTAGAGGAGTTGATTCTCATCCCAGCTGCTTCACACTCGGCTGCGAACTGCTCCTGTGAGAGCTGGAAATCACGTTCTGATAAAGCCATCAGGACCACATCATCTGCAAAAAGCAGAGACTCAATTCTTAGGCCACCATAAAGGATCCTCACCTTGGCTGCGCCTAGAAATCTTGTCCATAAAAGCTACAGTCAGAATTGGTGACAAAGGGCAGCCTTGGCGGAGTCCAACTCTCGCCAGAAACAAATCCGGCTTACTGTCGGTAATGCAGACCAAGCTCCGGCACCGGTCATATAGAGACCCAACAGCCCATATCAGAGAGCCTGGTACCCCATACTCCCGAAGTACCTCCCAAAGGCCCCCGAGGGATATGGTCGAACTCCTTTTTCAAATCCACAAAACTCATAAAGATTGGATGGGCTAATTCCCACGCACCCTCCAGGACCCCCTAAGGGTATAGAGCTGGTCCCGTGTTCTAGGCCAGGATGAAAACCACATTGCTCCTTCTGATTCTGAGGTTCAACAATCCGTCAGATCCCCTTCTCCAGAACCCCTGAATCGATTTTACCAGGGAGGCTCAGGAGTGTGATCTCCCTGTAGTTGGAACACATCCTGTGCCGTCCATTTTTACAAGGGGGACCACCACCCCAGTCTGTCAATCCAATGGAACTGCCACTCGATGTCCACACGATATTGCAGAGCTGTAAACGCTGCCCTACTACACCCAGAGCCTTAAACACGGGGCGGATCTCATCCACCCCCAAAGCTTTGCCACTAAGGAGCTTTTTACCACCTTGGTGACCTTGGCACCAGAGATTAGAGAGCCCAACTCAAAGACCCCAGACTCTGCTTCTTCACTGAAAGATGTGCCGTTGAAATTGGTGTGGTCTTCGAAGTACTCTGCCCACCGAACCACAACGCATTGAATAGAGGTCAGCAGCACACCATCCCAACTATAAACAATGTTGGTAGCATGCTGCTTTCCCCTCCTGATGCGCTGGATAGTGGACCAGAATCTCCTCGAAGTAGTATGGAAATCTTGTTCCATGGTATCACCAAACTGCTTCCACGCCCATGAGGGCCACATTCCGCTTGGCCTGCTGGTACCCAACTGCTGCCACTGGAGCCCCACAGGCCAAAATACAGGACTCGTTCAGCTTGACTGCATCCCTAACCATCTGTGTCCACCAGCGGGTTTGGGAATTGCCACCACAACAAACCCCAACGACCCTGCGGTCGCAGCTCCGGTCGGCCGCCTCGACAATGGCACAGAACATGGCCCACCCTGACTCTATGTCCCCCACTTCCCAGCAGACTCTCACATTACATTTAGGCCTACCAGGTCTGACCTTATCCTCCCCCCACCATTGAAGCCAACTCGTCACCAGATATTGGTCAGTTGACAGCTCTATTCCTCTCTTCACTCGAGTGTCCAAGACATGCGGCCTCAGGTCAAATAAGACGACAAGAAAGTTGATCATCGAGCTGCGGCCTAAGGTGTCCTGGTGCCAAGAGCACATATGGACACTTTTGTGTCTAAACATGGTGTTCATTATGGACAATCCATGATGAGTAAAAAAAGTCCAACAACAAATCACTGCTCGAACTCAGATCAGGGGAAGCGTTCCTCCTCACTACACCTCTCCAGGTCTCACTGCCGTGGCCCCCGTGAGCGTTAAAGTCCCCCAGCAAATTGAGGGAGTTACCCAAAGAAGTGCCATCCAGCACCGCTTCCAAGGACTCCAAAATGGGTGGGTAGTCTGAACTGTAGTTTGGTGCATAAGCACAAACCACGGTCAGGACCTGTCCCCCCCCCCACACACACGTAGGTGAAGGGAGGCTACCCTCTCGTTCACCAGTGTAAACCCTAACGTACAGGCACCAAGATGGGGTGTTCCAAATTTAAAACCTGATCAGCCAAATAAAATGAGGGAAAATTTTGCCTCAAATCCTCTTTGGTTTTAGCAATCATCACAACACTCTTCCTGTTGTTTAATTCTAGGGCTGCAACAACGAATCGATAAATTCGATGAAAATCGATTACTAAAAGCGTTGGCAACGAATTACGTCATCGATTTGTTGTGTCGCACAACTCTTCCAAAAGCCCCCCCCCCCCCCCCTTCCCGGCCGCCATTGTGCGCAGACTGGAGCAAGTCAGATCAGCGCGAGGGAGAGCCGGCAGGTGTTTGGAAGAGGAACATGGCAGAAGCAGCAAGACCCAAAAAAGTAAAAACTTCTAAAGTTTGGGAGCATTTTCAGTTAAATCAGGCGAAGACATTCGTTACCTGCAACGTTTGTAGGTCAGACTTAGCATGGCACGGGAGTACTACGGTTGTTAAGTCAGGCTTGGACTTTTTTCAGACTAGGAACCATGTTCAGCAGAAGGGGTTCCATGGGGACAATAAAGGTGGTACACCTCTGAGCTGTAATTTCACCAGAGAGCATGGTGTTCTGAGTCAGCCGTTCAGTGACTTCAGAACCAAATACATCCACCAAAATCAGAGAGGCAGCCGGTAAGATAAATATATAATATATTGCTGGTTGTGTACGGACTTTGCTGCTGGTTAGGCGGTTGGGTGGGAAACCTGACCTGATTGTTTGTTTGTTTGCTTACCTAGGCGTGGCCCAAACAATTGAGTCTCTGTTGATTTGGCTGGTATAATCTTTATTTGTTGTTATTTGCCAGTTAGTAAAAGAATTACTTATCTGAAATGTTTCAGCAAGTTGTTTGTTGCAGTTGTTTGTTCATTTTTTGGGTTCTGTGATTAGTTTCAATGGAAGATGAATTATAAAAGATAATGATAAGTAGCTTATATTTTTCTAAGGGAACTATTTGATGTTTAAAACTACTGTTTAAAAAGTAATGCTAAAGGTAATTATGTAAACCCTGTAAATCTAATTTAAGGTTATATGTCTGCTTGATTGAAGGTTTTTCACCTGAGCTGACCTGAGCTGACATGCTGACATGCTGAAATAAACATAAAAGCAAAAAGTGAAGCATTGTTTCGGTCTCTGAGTGAAATCCAGTTTCTAAACTCTGTGGTGGATGTTTATCCCTCTCAAGTGGGGAAGCACAAAACAGTGCAGGACTTGACAGTGAAAAACCGGCTGGGAGTGAAAGGAAAGAACCTGACTGTGCAGAATGTCTGACTTAGAGAAGTCACTTGAGCAACTGAAGGCAGATAGAACAACAGCCAAAAGATCTTTCACTCGCCGGGTCAACAGCGTATTGAGGTCATACAAAGATATGACTGAGGAGATGCTTAAAGATACTTTTGACAAACTCACATCAGAGGCTGAGAATGTCATGGCAGCTAATGAGGATCTAGAAGCTGCTCTCCTTCTAGAGCTGGAGTTGGCCACAGTTAAGGAAGAGTCATTAACTCAACAGCAGCAAGATGATTTGGAAAAGACTGCGAATGAATGTCAGAAGAAGCTGAATGAAGTTAAAAGTCTGATCCAGAGCACTCTTTGGGAAAACTTTGGAATCATTGAAGTATCCACAGCTGTAAAAGCAGCAGAGGCAGAGTGTGAGTTCGCAGCTGACGTACAACCCGATACAAAGCAGGAGGCATATGAGTTCATCCTCAGTCACCTGAAAGATTTGATGATGACAGCAATGGAGGTTTATAGAAGGTGGAAAAGATGGATTCCTCCTGAAGAGCAGAGGGACCTGCAGAGTCACCTTCAAAAGCTTGAACTCCACATCCCTAGACTGGTTTCAAGAAAAGCAGATTTCATCCAAACGAGAACAGAAGGTCATACTGGGAGACAAAGTCTGGCAGATGCGATACCTAATTATCTTGTCCCAGCTATAAAATTAAAACCAACATCC